TATGTTGGGCAATTGGTCCTTGTGGACCAGTTTACTTGACTTTTATTTAGAGTTGAAGTGTGTGGGTGCACGCGGCTTGGAGTTAGGACGATGAGCCAAATATTTCTTTGCACAATCTGACAGTCTTCTGACCGGTCCGATGGTCATGCGATGGATTTCTCTGGACTTTTTAACAAGGCATACCTCGGGCACAAGACTGGCAAGACTCGTGTCTTAGAATGTACCAAGTTCCCGGCCCGAAGCTGGCAATTACGTTAAACGATACAGGATGAATACCTTTCAGGCATCCTATCCTTCGACTCAATTCCAGGCTCCCGTACGGAGCACTTCAGCCTGATTCTACTTAACATGGTTGGGCTGCTAAACCATGTAATTCGATATTGTGTGTTGCCTAGGTCTTGAAGCAACCGTGACGCCATGACGACACAGACTTATTCCAAGGTTCCATTTCCTCAGCTTCCATTCGCCATCTTTTTTAATTGGCACATGTCTCCCCTTGGACCACCGGCTAAGCGTGTCAATTTGTGTCTCATTCTTATCGTGTTTTATTGGGCCAGTTTACTCACATAATTGACCGTATTTAAGCAATTTTAGCCCAAAACGATAAAGATATTCATAAGACAAACACACACTAATTGGTAACCTTCTCAGAAAAATGTAGCGAAACGTGAAAATGGACCGAAAGCGCATATTATATGTGCCGACAGACAGAGGAACAGACAGACAAATGAAGGACAGACGGAGCGACACAGTGGCCCATAAATGTTTTGGGAAACGTGAAGTATGCAAGATTGTTTGACTTTGTGAATAATAATTGCCAGTCCACCAAAAATGAGGATGCAAAATCCGTATCATTCTCGTCTTGCTCTGGTTGACTATTTTAGCCGAATCGCATAGTTTATTGGGCCCAACGCCCACGTAATGGGATGTCATATGCCTCGTGAGTTGAGCAGTTGAATGAGGACCACTCCTCAAATGTGTTGAACAATGCTTGGATAATCTGCTGGTGGTTTTGCATCACTCGGCTCTGCTCATTCAGGCGGGAAATGAAAAATTCTCGCCTCCCAAGTCCATGATCTTTGGCACCTACCGGGCAATTAGGGTTCTTGGTGGACTGCTCACCCACACCGGCCTCACGGAGAGGCGATTGTTGAAAAGCCCTGCTCAGAATGGCACAAGACAGGGCCCTGGGGCCACTTTATGGCAGTTCACTTCTCACTTCAGCAATAAACAGGCCCATCTCTACGCCCCTCCGGTACAGACGGGGCCTGAGCCCGTCGGTGGGCCACACCCACACGGCAGATATGGCGAGCAAAGGAGCCGAAAGAGTGTCAAAACCCACCGAGAAAGGTCAGCCTCTTGAGCATTCTTTATCTTTCGATGGCTGTCAGGACGGCTTTCGGCTGCCCGGGCAACCGAACTGTCTCACGCAAGCTTGGGAGAGGCAAAAGAGGCGGCATGACGTATGGAGGATCTACAGCGCCAAGGTCTAAAGATCGTAGCTATGACTACCGAGATGATGTGGCCTCGAGATTGCATCACAGTCTCTTTTCAGCTTAATGGATTGTGTTGGTTTGACCTCGTCGCCGCAACTTTGTCATAGCAACAGTGCAACCTTGTGGAACCTACCTAGTCTTCGGCTGTTGATTTGGTACATTCTCAGATCAATGGTCAGATGCTGGAAACTTTCATGAATTGCAGGTTTCGATGTCGCCACGATTAAATTGGGAAAACGAGGTCAAACTGAAATTGGGATCCCAGTTTGGTAGTGGTGTCAGGCAGACTTCTGCCTTAACCATCTTTATAATCTTTTTGTAATCAGAATCTTTTGCCTCCAATCACAACTCGTAACTGACTAACTTTATGTTTCCCTATTGTATCATCATCCTTCCTACCACAATTTCATATAAAGTACGCTTCTCTAAATCTTAAATAAGATTTCCTATCACCCTTGGCGAGACATGGTGAAGGAGGTCAGATTGTTGAACTTCCTCACAATGATATAACTAGGCTTCATGCTTCCGTTGAATTTCACATATCCTTGCCTCACAGAAGGCATTCACACCGTGATTGGACTGTACCACACTTTCAACCTCGAATCCGGGTAGTGCTGTTGGAGCAAAATTGCATTTTATCCTCACAAAAATTTTAATATCGAAGAAGTTGGTTGGGAACAAATCTTGAATTGCACTAATTTGTCCAATCCAACAGTCTTCAATCTTCAATTAAATAATTTGATTTCCATTAGGTTCAATTAAGGAATTTCTTGAAACCAACTTTTCCCTCTAAATGACTAGGAATTATTCGATATTTGCCATTACAATCGACTAAGTTACTTATAGATACTACGAATAACCTGGTTTCGATGAATCTTCATTTCGAATGAAAGTGTATGAAGAAGATATTCGAAGGTTTGGCTTTTAGACGACGTTCATGTTGATACAGTTGCCGAGACCTCCTTCTCGTTTCGGGTGAAAATGGGCTGATCTTTTGTCCATCATTCGAGGGGCATCAACAGAGCTGGAACTCATTCGTCTCAAGTTAATGTCGACTTAGACTGTTTGACTCCATCTTGTCTCTTATAAATACTCATTTAAAAATATACAATGCTTTGGATTAATATCTTTCATACGAGATGTATTCACCCATCTGGCATCACGGTAAGCAAGGCTGGGATTATTTCCTGCTTTCATTTAGCCATCGCGAAAGGTACATTAGAATCACAATGTAAATGGAATAAAATAGGTCATTAACCTTTATGAATGTACTGATAATAAGAAACGAGGGTAAGGTACGAAGGAGGCCAACACATTGGTTATTTTCTGAATTTTTTTTGCAACCATACTTACAAAACTAAG